CAAGGTCAACGGTAGCAAAGCTGCCAAAGGCCGCTTTTTTCCTTTTTCTTTATCGCTACGATTAAATTCGAGGAAGAAACAATCTAAAGATCAAATAGAGCTTTATAATGTTCAAAGCAAACAGCCTAAAACTCCGAGCTCTAATTAGATTGTTTTCGTTCCTCAAACGAAAATTATCCTTCCTTGTATTCAAAGGTTCAATAGTTAGCCATAATTAATCAATTGGCCTTAAAAAAACATAGTGAAGTTCCACCAGCGAACCTATTTTCCCCAGCGTTCGTGTTCTGCGCGCTGTTGGAGTTTACCCTCGTGAACTACATGTGGCGTAAGCGACCCCAGCCCAAACTGCCGAACCTGTTCGGACTGAACGGCGGTCGCGTGGCTGGACGCTCGGGTGGCGATATCTGCACCAGCTGCAAGGAGAAGAAGGGCAACGACTCGGCAATCTTCCCGTCTCCTAACATTGCTGTGAGTAAAACAGCCTTAGTACAATTGCACACAAGGAGAACAGTGTTTATGTTGTTCGAAGAGATAGAAAAAAGATCGTTTAGTGTCATTTTTTGACCGTTTTATCGATGACCAGATTATATGACCAGCATCTCTGCTATTTGGATTTCATAGTTTTAAAATATGTGGCAACATTTCCGACAGGTGAGCCTCAGTGAAATTTTACGGCTGAAATTACTCAATTCACGGCTCAATTTATTTCCGTTTTATAAGTTACGTGTAATCTCAGTGAAAAAAGAAATACCCCAATAATTTTGCGACGGTCAGCTGGCCACTAAAACGCCGTTGAAACTAATGTTTTTAACTATAAATTTTCAAACTGTGGATGATATCGCCTTCGAAGAGTCGTTTCACGTGTGAAAATAAACGTTGCAGATTTGTGAGAAAGCCATTTTTGAATCAACATACAAATTCAAATCAACATTTTCAATCTCGGCACAATAATATTTCATTTGGCTAAGATCGTCAACTGATTTACTGATTGTGATTTTGTTTGCATTATTCAGATGAGCAGCAAGCTAACGGACGAAGCTCTAGCTGCTCTGCCCCTGCAGCTCGTGGCCAGCCTCGCCAGCAACTCCAAGAGACGCGTGCACGCCATCGACTCCAACTGCCGCGTGCTGTTCCCGCTCAGCTTCATGTTCTTTAACGTCATCTATTGGTGTTATTACCTGCTTTAAGATTGATGTTATTACCTGCTTTATGATTACCTGCTTTAAGATTATTGGTGTTATTACCTTCTTTAAGATCGGTGATATTACCTGCTTTAAGATTATTGGTGTTATTACCTGCTTCAAGATTACCTGCTTTAAGATTGGTGTTATTACCTGCTTTAAGAAACAAGTTCGAAGGTTTTTCGACTTGAAATGGGAGTTTATGATTTACGAGAATCAAAGCTTAAATTGAGTGCGCAGTTAAAACAACGATTTCATTTGTTATCATGAATAAGTGGTTCATCACCTTCTGATATTGGAAATCAGGGTGGTACATTCCGTAAGATCGCTTTAGCTAAACATATGATGACTTCAACCAAACTGTCCACATGGTATTATTTTCCATGCGGTACATGTAATTCATTTACAGCAAAACTTGTCTATTCACCATACCTTTAGCACTAAAGAGTTTAGGTATGTCAACCTGCACCTCCACATCGCAATTTTCATGAAAGTATGGATAAAAAGACAGCAAATGCCATCTTGTATATTTATGATGGAGACACATGACTGTATTTTACAGTGTTATGATGTGTTCTTTGTGTGTCATTTATAATTTCATGGCAAATGCTTACAAGGAAAGTTTGTCTTCAAGCAACGAAATGTTGGAGACCTCTGGCTTAAAGAGTGATAACTCATCACTGATGTAGTTATATGTGCTATATTTAATGAGGTTATTCCACTTTCTACAACCTCTATTTGTGCAATAGAAATGAATCATGAGAGGATTGCGAGCCTGTGCATTGTTAAAAATAGAGTCATAGGCGACCTGAACTTTATATAGTTGAACTTTTGGCCCTCTAAAGCTCACATAAAACAGTGGCCATAAGCTGTATGCATGCATTGAACAAATTTATTTATTTATTAAGCAAATAGATAAAAAAAACATTTATAAATGTTTTCGATTTGTTAAATCGCTGAAAATATGTCTTTGAAAGCGAACGTAATAATAACGTCAAGCGCTAAGCAGAAAGAAGCGTGACAGAACTCGGCAGACGTAGACTCTAACAAAATTTAGAGCCGAGGGCGGCTCTGGATCAGGGAACGCCTAGGACTCGGGGAGCATATGAACGGCGCTCATCATTCCCGTTGCACAGCATCTCATAAGGAGCTGTTATGTTTGTTTTCTCGCCGTGTTATGATTACCCATTCTTCTGTTTTTTTTTATAAATGTGCTGTTCTGGGTCAATATTCTTCTAATGCTAGAGAATAATTGCGCGGTGATAGCATTTGAGGGAACACTTCTCACACCAGAGTTTTAAATAGAATTGAGTTTTTATTCCGTTATTCTTCAACGTACAATTCTAATGTTATGACCATCTCAACCATGCTGTGTAAGAAAACAAAAATCAAAATAAGAGGGCATTCAAAAGGTAAGTGCTCAGGCGATCTATCAAACACAGCTGTCTTATTTTTTGGTTTCCGGCAGATGATAGCAGTGCATATTACGATAGTGTTATAGCTACGTAACTAATATGCATGATATTAGATAAGAAACACCATTAGTTTTTGCATTGATGCTCGCGTCCCAGTGCGTCCCTAGCAACGTGTTTGTTCTGTGTCGGTTTTGGTGGAAAAAATTACTATATTTTTACATGCTACAACTGATGTGGCTTGTTTTAGGTCTTAGTTAAGCTGTAGCGCAATATTCAGTGTATTGCTTTACAATTTACATGTTCGGAATCGGGAATACGCGCGTTCACACAAACTTTTCCAATAAAAAATGCAACATTAGTTTTCTTATTTTGCTCAATGTTCATTCAATAAACGTTCTCTTGGTAATAATGTTTATGTATCCCTCTTTTCAAAGCCAGATCGACTACAGACGAGTTTTGATTCATTCAAACGAAGATTTTGACTGCAATACTGTACATGTTTTCTTCAATTCATCTATAGTTTATATGAAAATATTATATTCTATAGCAAGAAGCAATCTCGAAAATACTTCCAGAAATTGTCTTCTTTGAAAATAAAAGTGTTCTTGCACGTGTGGTGCAGGCAAAATACAATTATTGTGTAGGACATTCAATGACTGATGTATTTATTTGACTTCTTTGAATGCAGCTGAAGCCAGCATCGTCAATGCAGATTTAAAAACAGCGAAAATCAGAATTAAAATTACGGTGAACTTTCGTGCCGAGTATATCAGCAATTTATTACCAGTTATATGATCTGTCTTGAGAGAATGAATTATAAATGAAGAGTAAAAAAAGCTTACAAATTTTGGCTCCGATTTCAGTCATCCTCTATAAACCGATTCTCCATTGAACAAATTTAACATCAAATAAATAAAAGTTCCACGACGCTCAAGATCAGTGCGTTGAGTGGATACGAGTTTTTTTCTAAATTGAAATTTTCAAAGTTTGTATTCCGATGGTCGTACACCTTAATTAACTATTATGGACTCTCACTCTTTGACATCGGTTATAGTTTTTACAGAATTTAGATTTTTGTGTGCCAACATCGCAAATCCATCACGGCAGACTTGGGCCAATTAAACTCAAATTACGGAATATGAAAAGGATTGAATGTCTCTTTGCTTTCTCTTGAATTCTTGAGAAATGTTCGTGCAAAAATTTTTTACAAACAATTTTTCTGTGATGGACACGACGGCGAGTGCTGTGTTGTGTCACGCGGCAGCTGAGATAGAGGCTATGCCAAAGAATAATAATAATACTAATAATGATAATATAATAGAGGCTATGCCAAAGAATAATAATAATAATATGATAGAGGCTATGTCAAAGAATAATATAAGATGAAAGGTAGAAGAAAAATGCGTTAAAGTATAACGAGATTCCGTTCTTGAGTAAAATTGTGTAATTCAAATATATAAATATATCCGCATGATGAAGAAATATGGTAAGCGAGTTGTGTTGCAGCATTGCAATAACTGAGTTATTGAGAGGAATCCAAGATTTAATAACAACTTCATGATTAAAAATTTAAAAGCAAAGAATAGTCCACAAAAATTCATATCTTTATAGAAAACGTTTCGGAGTCCAGCTCCATCGTCAGTTCGTAGAATCTAGAACATACATAGAAAGTCACAAGTTAATACAATTGAAAGCACAGAACACAATTAGAACCTAAATTTACAAGTAATAGGGCATAAAAACCTATCTATTCACAATTTCAAGGGGATAGGAGCTCACAGCTGAATTTAAACTGGGCCTAAGCCTAAAAATGTACAATGATTCTAAGATACGCAAATCTGAAGTACCGGAGGTAGAAGCTAACCCCCTAAAGTCACTGTCAGAAACAGGCACATCACACTGCTCGGCGTGAGTGCGCACAGCCGAATGAGGGGGGCGCGATAGCAACTGTCCGGTCCTACAACTCCTGCCCTTATGCTCAGCGATCCTGGAATAAAGATTGCGTGAAGTCATACCGACGTACGCAGATGCACATTGTGCACAACGAAATTGATAAACCAGGGACGATCGCATATGAACAGGGAGCATATCTTTATATCTAAAAAAAGAACCGATTTTGAAACTGTTAACCAGAACAATATGGAGTTTAACGCTTGGAAAGTATCTATTGAACAAGACTTTTAACTCTCTTGACATAGCTTCGGACGCAGGGCCGAAGTATGGAAAAGAACAAAAAATAACGTTCCTACTATCGCGCTCGGGAGCTCTAATTGTGTTCTGTGCTTTCAATTGTATTAACTTGTGACTTTCTATGTATGTTCTAGATTCTACGAACTGACGATGGAGCTGGACTCCGAAACGTTTTCTATAAAGATATGAATTTTTGTGGACTATTCTTTGCTTTTAAATTTTTAGTCAACTTGCGATTTAAGCAAATAAGTGACATTAATACTTTAACTTCGTGATTGGATCGTAACATGACTATATACAATTGAGACGCATACCATAAGTGAACTATCCGGACTTACGATAAGGTACGATTAAGAGGCGAATACCGGTAGCACACAGAGAAAATTTTAACATTGATTTCTCTTCCATTCACTTACTAAATTATTATGTGAGACTGGAATCAGCACATGGTGACTTCCAGTTGAACGAAAAAGCTTTATTATTCGAAAAGAAACTAATTTAGATGACGTTCTTCTAACAGTAATTATTAAACATATTTTATTATAATAGAGTTGATTGATGAAGCAGTTATGGCAGCGTCCTTGATGAAATTGTCCTTTCTTAGCCATTTTATTCTGATACTGAACAATTTAATGGACGCTCTTTTATACGCGTGTTTGGAATTTAAATAATTTATCTAGTGTTCGTAATTTAAATTTTGGGGCTCCAGAATAGAAATAAAATGCGTCGTTGGTTTGATTAATTAAATTCCGGACTTTTGGCGTAACCGAAAACAATTACCATCGGATCTCTCAGCTTGACACTCTTGTGCTATATTTTAAATGGTTCATTCCCGTCCAAAAATTTGATAGATCAATAGTTTTACACTTTAATTTGCTTTAATTCCAAAACTCATTAGTTTTATATGCCGTGTTGACTATCCTCATTTCAGAATGCACTGATATGCATGCAGAAATGGAAACAAAATGCTAATGAGGATAATTTTCTTAACAACGAGTTTCCACAATTAAATTCGCAACTTGCACATATTACCTATCTGACAACAATATTGCGCGGAAAAATCAGAAAGTTGAAGTGTAATTTCGGCGATGTCCTTCTAAGCGAGATCGTTTATCACAAGAGCGTCAAACGGAAATTGAAACCGCTAGCACATCGCGCCGTTATTGACCAGCCAAAGCGGGGAAACAAAAAGAACAAGACTTTTGAAACTGCGGCCAAAAACCTTGCTGAACGATAGATCGGTCACTTGGGTAAGTAAAATTGTAGGATAAGACACGGGTGTGATTGAATTTCGGAAACTGATTTAAAATCCAAACGTGATTTGGAATCTATTCACATATAATTGAACGGGCCGATTTATAACCCTCCTACAGACTTTTCGCGCTCGTTTTCTTGGCTTATCTTTTTTTTACTACAATTTTTTTACTTATGCCAGTTAACGAATGAAATTTAACTAACACGCAGCTAACTTTAAAGTCCACAGAAGGGATCACAGAACTAATCATTAGGCGGCTTCGATATCTCATTTCGAAGCCGATCGACATTCGTGGTCAAACGTCATATATCAAGATCAGCGTATCTCTAAGTTCGAAGCATATTAATTTCACGGAATAATTTTCCGCCAGAATATTATTTAGATGCGTTTTTTGGATGGAATTTTCTAGTTTGAAGAAAAGTGCTAACCTTTGCACGGGTATTTGCCGGCGCTAAGCCTGCGCTCAGTTGTAGGTTAGTCCAAAATACGTAAGGACTTTTAACCTTTAATATTATGCAGCCATTGTCCTCAAACTTTGAACGTGTAGTTCTTTTTTTAAGTGGCAGCATAATATTTAAGAGACATTTTTGTTCCCTATTATAGAGGATATCCCTATCGAAATTCGAAGACCTGTCAGCCGCTGGCACACGGACGCCCCAAGTTCTTATGGCCGGGTAAATTAGAAGCTCTATGTCCGCATTAGGTTCCGGTTGCCGTAGCGAAATAAGCGCCGAAATGATGTCATGCCGAGCATTTGTCTCGCCTGATGTCATGCCGAGCATTTGTCTCGCCAGCTTTGCAATCCTCGCCTACGTAACACCAATGGAGCGTAAAAGATACGCATGAATTGCGATCATAAACCTAATGGAATAAGGTTAGAAGGGCGATTTATTGTGGATAGACGTCTTTTTGAAATAGAGGTAAGACACAATATATCTGAATATTTCATAACTTGAAATTGCAATAAGGCATTTCTTTTCTTTTCTTGTATAATAGAAATGTAACTGTGAACATAATTTTAAAGCTCAAATTTAAAAGAACTCTTTTTATGAAATCAAATTTTCAAATGATTGAAATTATTGCAGTATTGCGTATATGAATCAAGTATACCAAAAGTTATTTAGACTAACTTTCATGTAAACAGTATCTATTAGTGAAATAAAGGTTCTTAAATACTTGAAATTCAGATTTTAGATATTTGCGAATCCTATAAGTAATAACAAAGGATAAATTGACTTGAGTTGAAAGGGTACAGAACATTTGAAATGAGCGTTTGCTTCTAAAAGTAATAATCGAAAAATTGCTGCGCGAACACACCATTAACCAAAAAAACTAGTTGAATTCTTATGTATAAGCAAACAACAGCTCCCACAAAATAACTAAAAAAAAACAGACAACTAGAAGCTTATTAGTTATTAGTTGAACAACTCATCGCAGAAGATTGTCTTTTCGGTCGAAGTATATATTCTGAAAATGAATCAATTCTGAACGAAGGTAAAAATCATGACTAAAAGCGTTTCTTAAGTCACGCACAAGAGTACACAACGAAACAAACCCTCAATCAATTACCTATCTCAAGTAATAACATTACAATAACTGCGCTGTGAGCCTCTTCGTTAAATCTGTGCGTAAACAACTCTGAATGCATACTCAAAAAGGCCGATATGAATCCCTGCAGGAAAATAAGGCTTGAGAACAAAGGGACATTAGGAAGCAGCAGACACTCTCTGAGAGTGTGTGGGATTGAGATTCCAGTTCCCCTTTATGCAAAGCTACCGAGACTGACTGTTCGCTCAAGCGTTCATTTCTTAAACGGCTGTCTTTAATTTCAATTATACCCTGACAGTTAATTAAGACTTCCATTTTTTATTAAGCTTACCGTGAACTTCATGTATACGGGGCCGGAGATTACAAAATGGAAAATTACTGGTTGAATTTAAAAATAATTAATAACTGAAAAATATTGACAAAATGATAGTCTCTTGCTGTAGCAATTTAATGATAAAATTATTGTAAAAATTTCAATGCGTTTATACATTTAAATTAAGGAATAATCCACTGCAATATTAATGCCATCTGAGGAAAATATCCTAGCTTTTTGAAAATAATTGAACTTTTTTAAAGTTCCGCGTACCCCGATCGGTAAATTCACCTTTACACCCACAACCATTACAAAAAAGTAATAGCACCACTCGTATTCATATGATTGATGGATAACCAGTTTTACTCGATTAAGGGGGAGGTATACTTTTTTCGGATTTGGCTTTTCTGGCATTTAGTATCATCTTAAAGCTGACATTCTGCCCTATCCAACGATACCACTTTAACATTACAGCTCTGTGGGTTATAACCTCTTATGGGGCCCAGAAAGTTAAGCTATCGGCAGAACATCAATCAGCTAGAGAAACAGTGTGTATAGTATAGTATCTTCAGCATTAAAGAATAGGCCTGGATAGGCCTGTCGCCGATTCTTGTACTTTTCTCGACTAGACTGGCCTTTTGATCAGATCTTTTCATAATGCACGTCATCCTCGAGAGGATAATCGTGTTTAGACTGCGTATATCGATGATACGCTTCGTATCATCGATACGTACATCAAGTCAAGTAAATTGGCTCGCAACAACGTGTTTCGTGTGTAGCAACGGACTAAAAATGAGAAAATTAAATACTTAAAAAACTAATAATGTACATTTAAAAACTACTTTTTAAACACAACACTTCTAAAGAATCCAGTGTCTCCAATGGTAAAGATGTACAATGAATTTCTCGTTTTATTTTCGAATATTAAAAAAAATTAATTTTTCAAATTTTTTTAATATATACATTTTTTTCAAAATTATTTATTCTGTCGATTGATTCATGCATTGCCTCCGAATTCACACAAGTGTGCAAAATTTCAGATCAATTGACAGGTAAAAGTGTATCAAATATCAGTTATAAGATTTGTAGCTGACAAAATTATTTTTTCTATTTTTTTAATATTGATAAAAATGTTTAATTTTTAAAATCATTTATTTTGCTATTTGATTCTTGCATTGTCTCCAACTTTGCGCAAGTGTGCAAAATTTCAGATCGATAGGATAAGTAGAAGTGTGTTAAATTTCGATTATAAGATTTGTAGCAGACAGACAGACAAACAAGAAGTGAACTTAAAGAGAAGTGTTGTAAAAAGTAGAAAATAAAATGTATAAAAAAATTTTTAAAGACCACGTTTTTCATGTGGACTCAAAAGTAGAAAATAATTTTTCGGCAGCTACTGATCTCTGTTTGCTTTCATTCTCTTGGTCTTTTGTATTTCAGTTAAAATATTTTACAACATCTAAAACGAAAAACGTGGGGCGCATCTTCATTTAGGCATGCCTTAATTTCAATTTTGAATTCAACTACTATTTTGAATTTCTCTATCACTATTCGTTACTCCATATACATTTGATTTGATAGTGAGCTATTTAATGGTGAACTATATAGATACTTAATGCATTTTCTTTTCAAATGTCTTAATATGCCTCTTAAATTTATTAGATATAGTCCACGCGTTCATTTAAAATTCTCAAAATTTGATTCTTTTAAAATTTTCACATACCCTGACCTGCGTTATTCATGATTCATATCTTTACTTGCTTGAATTACTTATACACATTTCAAACTACCTATATTGGATGAAACACGATAAATCAATATACCAACAGTAAATAACAAAATTTGCTCAAATCAGATATATCATATTCATCATATCAAGTAATCACCAAACAATTAAATACATATGCGCCCCACGTTTTTCGTTTTAGATGTTGTAAAATATTTTAACTGAAATACTAAAGACCAAGAGAATGAAAGCAAACAGAGATCAGTAGCTGCCGAAAAATTATTTTCTACTTTTTAGTCCATATGAAAAACGTGGTCTTTAAAAATTTTTTCATACATTTTATTATGTTTTAATTATGCTCCCACTCCCACCCAGAATTCTATTTGTACTCTACAAGCGGGATTTTTTTCCGAAATCTCCCTTGATTAGTTGTGAAGTACGTCTCTCAGACGTTTAATATTCCGCGAATTGAACAATGCTCATATTTTCCAGCATTGATAATAGGCTTCAGTTAGTATTCGACAGGTCGCTGTTTCTCAGACCCTCTTAGCAAACTCAAATGTATACGGCGTAGCATCCTCCAGAAAGCACTGGCCAGGAAACTCTACATAGTGTTGCATATGGCAGAGGCAGTATTGATTTCTTCGCTTCGAATTTTGATGAAAAGGCTGCGTTTTTGCAGGCAAAAACCTTGCTGGACATTTCCGGGCAAGCAATTTGAACATGACTGTCAGTTGATGAAAAATTTGCTGTTTATGAGCGATACCCTAAAGGTAAAATGCACTAACGAGCGCAGAGTGCATTGCCTCTCAAAGGCCTACAGGTGATTTATGGGGACAGTATAAGGAACATTTTACGCAACAAAAATTAAGAAATAGACATGACTCTGCGATAGGTATCGCACAGTACTCGGGGTTACGTAAATCTAAGTTCGCTTAGGCCGGGCTTGAAGTGTAGCAGCCTTTGAGCAACGTGCAATCTCGGCATGACTCGGCTTCAGTTAACCCATGTCATGCTCTCAAGACACTATTAACTTCAAAATTAGAAGATAACCAGAAGCTGATTTTGATAGAGTTGCCAAGCAGACCCAAGATAACTCTGAGCTGAGTGCAGCGACTCTTGGGCAGAAGTCTACTCATGATCCGAATTTTATTAGAATCCGACATGCAGTTTCGTTTTCGGTTAATGAAATTTCGTTCATTGCGACGCTGGCTTGCAAATAAATCCACAGGATTTTGGTGAATATTCCACGCTTGAAATTTTATTAGGCATGTCAAGTTTATTAAAAAATATGTTTCACTTTCATCAAAATTTATTTGCACCTTCACAGGACTGTCAGACTGTCATTGATATTTACATTTGCATGAATGATAGGCACATTTCCGATTCACAGCCTACAGCTGCGTTCCAATATATACGTATAGCTGCGTAACTATATCTATAGTTACGCAGTATAAAACATGTGTATAATCACATTACAGGACTATCACGTAGACTTATACCTGCGACAAACCTGGGTTGACCAACGCCTCAACCACGCCGACATCGACCAGCCGCTGGACTTGAACGACCCGAACTTGGTGAAGGCGATCTGGAAGCCCGAGGTGTATTTCCCCAACGCCAAGCACGCCGAGTTCCAGTTCGTGACCGTGCCTAACGTGATCGTCAGGATCAACCCGCACGGCGAGATTCTATACATGCTCAGGTGAGTTATTACTAGTCTTTCATTATCGTCGTCTACCTTTATTACGTTGTGAATATAAATGAATTCTGTACATTCTAGGGACAGGTTGAATCCAGGTATTTCAAAATGCCATCTATTCAAAAATCAATCATCCACTACAATCTGTTTATTTGGAGGCATGTTTGAGGTTTAATTTTTAACCGGTCTTGGCTGATCAAAACTCTAGAATTAACTTCTTAATTAAAAGTGTCCGATTATGACGAATAATTTCCAGTGTAAATTTTCCACAATCTGGTTTATTCTTTACGAATTGGACTAAATTCTTCGAATGTCTCATGTCCACAGTAGACACTAACAGTTTCTGAATCATTCATCATGATTTCATTGATTTTAAATTGTTAAGGTAAGTCAACCAAAATAAAATTGGCAGAACGTATCGAACTTCAAAAGGGAAACATAAACTTCAAAATTTTCAAATTCTGTAAAAAAAAACTTCGGCATCCAACGAGCTGGGATCAATTAGAGAAAATCAAAGTTACATTGCTGGACCATGAGATCAATCGTCGAGAAGCAGGGGCAAAATTTTAATTAATATTGTATCTTCTATTTTACATTCCCACCGATAAGAGAAATTAAAACTCAATCACCACAGAACATCGGATTTATTTTGCTCCCACTCAAAAGTCTCACTCCCCTCCAGAGCAGCAACGGATCGTTGTGGCTCATAACTCTAGTTGAATAAACAACTTCAGAAGCCACTCCATTTGAATCAGAGTCTGAATTTCAGAACATTCAAACTGAAATAATGAGGCAGTCCAAGAGATGCTTACAAACATTCATGATGCCCAGGATTACAGGGATTTATATACTTGTAGTTGCCTGATAGGCTCCTGCGTTCTGCAGTTTCGTGTGTTAGATTTGTTACAATTCTGGAGCACAAGTTCTCTTGCATACGGACCATTGATATATGAAAAAATACGGGTACATGACTAATTGCTTGGCATAAAGTTTCCGTGATGGACAGCAAACAACGCTTGTCACATCTTTAATCAGGTCTAGTAATTTTTAATGAAAATATATACTTGGTTCAGATTTCATATATACTCGTGAGTACAAATCAATAGTGCATAAAAATTTCCCAATAATTATCATTCGGGAACATCAAGTATATATTTTCATTTTTTTAACCCAATTTCAACAAAAATAGTTATGAATTGTTAACAGAGTAAAGAAAAAGTTAAAACCATCGTTTTAATATTTGTTTATCTGAGTTTAGTGATAGTAAACGCAATACCTTGCTGTTCCCTCGTCTAGTGTTACCTGGATCTCCAGATTATCACTAACCATCAAATCTTCTAACCATTCTAACCTTCTCTAAGGTTGAAGCTGCTCTTCTAGTGTTACCTGGATCTCCAGATTATCACTAACTATCCAATCTTCTAACCATTCTAACCTTCTCTAAGGTTGAAGCTGCTCTTCTCTTGTATGCTGGAGCTTTCAAAATTCCCTCTGGACGCCCAAATCTGCACCATGGAAGTGGCTAGCTGTGAGTGTTTTTTTAAATTATTATTTCGGTTAAATTTATTTCATGAATACTAATATGATTGTTCGCCCGTAAGATTAACATGTGTGATGGTCCAAAGTGATGTATATATAATAGTGATATAGTATAAATGCATATTCTACATCGTAAATGCGGCTCCAGTAGAGAACTTAACTCACAATAGCAAACTTTTTTTCTGATAGTTTTATATTATTAGAGACTACTCGATTTTTGTCCAACATGAGATTTTAGTATCTCATATTTTCAGTTATTCTAGCAGTATGTTTTAACCTTTTTCTCATGTAATGTAAACTTCCAAAAGTAATCTTACTTGATTTGAAATATTTCAGAAGCAGTAATTTTCTGGCAGCTGAACGGTCAAACAAATTATGTTATGTCGAACAGATGCGGATATCTATTCATCTTTATCTTAGAAAACATATTGAAAATTTTCGAGGAATGAAAATGCACTGTGGTAAATTTTAGATTTATGTTTCTACCGTTGCGAGGAAGGCAACGTAAATGTTTGTAAGCTCTACATCGGCCAATGGAGTCTTTTTGTATTTCTTTGAACTACCACTCTATCGATAAGAATTCATTTGCGTTAGAANCTGCTTACCGTGTCCACCAAGTCCTCAGGTGAGTGACCACCCTGCTTACCGTGTCCACCAAGTCCTCAGGTGAGTGACCACCCTGCTTACCGTGTCCACCAAGTCCTCAGGTGAGTGGCCACCCTGCTCACAGTGTCCACCAAGTCCTCAGGTGAGTGACCACCCTATTCACCGTGTCCACTAGTCATCAAATGAGCTTGCAGATGTTGATATTGCCAACGCCAGATCTCGTCTTACTCTCCGTTGTAAAATCGGCAAAGAGATTCTGACTGGCCACAGATTGCGATCGGGTGGCCAAGCAGACCTAGACTAACTTTAAACCGAGTGTAGCGACTCATGGACCTAGGTGGTCACTGACTTTTGTTATGGCCTTGATCAAAGTGTCATCGAAATAAGTATTCCAATGTGATGAAATTCAGGGTGAAACGCTCTTTCGAAGCACTGGCCGTTCTCATTTTAATTCTCTTGACTATCAGAATATTCGGCTATCAGACTAGTCCCTTAAGTCAGTTTAGTTACACTGTGAACGTTTGAGAAATCGTTCACGATATTTTTTATGGATTTTATTATTGTTGTTTTCAATTTTTTATCAGGGTGGCATATTGTACATATTAGTGTTAATGAATTTCCGGTGAGGCACATTGACTCCCGACCTTCTCTGCCATAGAGAGATGTGACGAGGGTGGTTGAGTTTGTGGCTAAGGCAGTTGCGTCCTGCGAACCGATCAGCAACAGTTAGTTGCGTGAGCCAATATTGTGGCAGCTAGTGACTAGTCGTTGTGCTGATACGGTTTCTGCTTGTGTTTCCCCAGTGTGCCTTCTCCCTTCCTGGACCGAATGTACTAGCCACCTGCTTTGTCACTTTGTTTTAGACTATTAGTGTCAAGTTCCAGATTTTAAAGTGCCCTAGTCTGTGTCCAATGAAAATGTTTTAAATCTCAGCGTTAACTGGAAAACTGTGTTTTGTTACACCAATAGTTCTTAGAGAACTGCTAGATATTACGTTCGTGCCCGACGTTCCGCCCTTTTTGTTTTTGTGGTGGCCATCTTTGACGTTTGGAACGTACGGTCACAACACTAATGCCCAATAATTATCTAACAATACAATTATAAAGTGAACAATATTCCTCAATTATACTCCTATTTAGCAAGTAAATGCATTGCTTAATATAAAACAAAAACTATCGCTCGTCGCCCTCCCACTTTTCCTCTAAGCTGAATTAATTCCTCTAAGCTTCCTCTAAGCTGAATTAATTCCTCTAAGCTTCCTCTAAGCTGAATTAATTCCTCTAAGCTTCCTCTAAGCTGAATTAATTATCGAATAAAGTTTATTCGTTGGATTATAATCCTGAATCGTGATTATCCATGAGCTCCGCTGTGAGAGATACTCGCTTCTGTTACAGATTATAGAATATGCAAGCGGGGGTCGATTTAAAGTATTAATATTGCAAGAACACACCAGTAAATTTAATCTGTATATTCGTCTTATTTATGTTTCGCCTTCGCGATTATGAACCATTATTTCAAATTTAAATACTAAATTCTATAAAAAAAGGCACTTCACATTTTTCATTGTAAGAATTACTCGATACCTCCTTAGTAAGAATTACGCATGAGATCATTTAAATTAATGACCGTCTCAACTTTGGATAAAATTTACTGATATAAATTTCATGCTTGTTATGTAAGATTATTAAATTTAACCATTTTTAGAATTTTGAGTGTCAGTAGAATGGATTGATATTGTAATTGTTGGATAAACATCGTATTTTTCAATCTTTGTGCTCAAGGTTCAATTTTTCTGTATTTTTGTCTTAATATTTTCTCTGTCATTTCAATCGGAAGCCACGTGATTTTATTTTTTCTGAGTAAGTAAATGAATATTTTTTCAGATTTTTTGGTATCTTGTTGGTATTTTATAGCAGTTCCTGCTAATTTCGTTGAACTTGTTAACTCTAACGGCGAAACTTGTATTAGTGGTCGAAACTTGTATATTATTAGATAATATTATTATCTTCACTAAGACAAATCAATCTCTAGGTCGTAAGCGTTTTTTCGCAATATCTATTTTATTTGTGAATATTAATCATTATTATGTACGGAAATTCTAAACAAGTTCAGTTTCCGGACTAAACTAATTATTTTTAGGGTAATTATATGCAAGTTCAGAGAAATTTCCAGTGCTAATGTATGTTTCTGAAGTTATTTGTGATATTTATGCACTCTAATATTATTCAGGAGCTTGTCATGTATAGCGTTTTTATTAACTTAATTGTTAGCTATTGTTTATGTTTTTAATTACTCTTTTAAATACAGATATTCAGGAAGGCCTGCCTCAAGTTTCCTACGTGAAGGCCATAGACGTTTGGATGGGAGCTTGCACCGGTGAGTAATAAAATGTTATTATTGTTGTAGAGCTTCCAATCTCTTAACGAACTGACGTCTTTCCGACACAAAACTCGTGATCGTTCATCAATCAGCAATTTTAGACCAAGGATTTTCTTCAATGAATAAACAGTTGAAAGTAAATATAATTAACGATGAATGAATAGAAACAAAACCACAAACCTAACCCTTAACTTAAGCCTAACCGTGCGTTTCAATCACTTCCAATTTACTTCATAAGTCTAAAAATTTATGCTTGCCTGAAATAGAATAAAAATAACGCTTGAAATACCTAGCTACAGAACATGAATAGATAATAAACAAATTACCACGCATAAATAATCATTATCACGGAACGATTCACTCTAAAATTGAACAATCACAAATATAATCAGGGAGCTATCGATTAACGCACTTCCACGGCAAGAATAGATACACATGATAAACAAGAACGCAATATAAACAAAACCCCTACTACTTGGAGTTCACGGCTAAGGTAATTGAAAGGAAGACTACCTCGAAAAACCAAATCGTGTTTTTATATATTATTATCAATATAATATATAATTATATATATTTTTGGTTTTAATTCAAGGAGAGGCTCAAAACATTAATTAATAGATATTGGTTTACTTCGCGTATATAATGAAATAATATAATAAATTATATTATATTGCAACTTAAAAAATATATTTACTGCAATAAATCTTTTTCTTCTACATTATTAATATTATTAACTAAATGATTATTATTAATCACAGAATTATCTTATTGCTTGAACGATAGATGTTTCCCAGCCTAACCTTCAAATAAATTTATGCAGCACTAACTCCAAAGAATCAGAATTTAAAACGGATTATTCCATCATTTAAGACGCATATATTATTTGTAGTTAAATTTACATCAGCTACCGTATGAAAAACTAAACACTTTAAAATGGAAACTAAAATGACAATTTCAGTTATTGACTTCAATTGGAAACAACACACAAAAAGAAATTCATAAATTTTTCATGCATGACCTATATGTTTTCAACGGACTCTAGAGTAGGTTTGAGTTTCAAAAATTTGAAAGACTTTTTTTGTGTGTAGCAACGTATGTCGATCAATCTTGGTCAGTTCGGTTTCCGATTTTGGTCGTTACTGCCGTCAATTTTTGACGGAGTCCGATGTCATGCCGAGCATTTATCTCGACTGATGTCATGCCGAGCATTTGTCTCGCCTGATGTCATGCCGAGCATTTGTCTCGCCTGATGTCATGCCGAGCATTTGTCTCGCCAGCTTTGCAATCCTCGCCCACGTAACACCAATAGAGCGTAAAAGATACACATGAATTGCGATCATAAACTTTATCGAATAAGGTTACGAAGGCGATTTATTGTGGATAGACGCATGTGGATAGACGCATTTCAAAAAGACGCATTCGTCTTTTTGAAATAGAGGTAAGACACAATATATCTGAATATTTCATAACTTGAAATTGCAGTAAGGCATTTCGTTTATTTGCTTGTATAATAGAAATGTAACTGCATGTTGACATAATTTTGAAGTTCAAATTTAAAAGAACTCTTTCTATGATCAAATTTACAAAAAAAATCTATGATCAAATTTACAAATGATCGAAATTATTGCAGTATTATATGAATCGAGTATACCAGAAGTTATTTAGACTAACTTTCGTGTAAACAGTATCTATTAGTGAAATAATGGTTCTTAACTACTTGAAATTCAGATTTTAGATATTGGCAAATCCTATAAGTAATAACAAAGGATAAATTGACTTTAGTTGAAAGGATACAGAATATTTGAAACAGAACGTCTGCTTCTAAAAGGAATAATCGAAAAATTGCTGCGCGAATACACTATTAACCAAAAAAAGTAGTTGAATTCTTATGTACAATCAAACAATAGCTCCCACAAAATATCTAAAAAAACAGACAACTAGAAGTTTATTAGTTATTAGTTGAACAACTCATCGCAAAAGTTTGTTTTTTCGGTCGAAGTATATTCCGAAAATGAATCAATTCTGAACAGAGGTAAAAATCATGAATAAAAACGTTTCTTATAAGTCATGCGCAAGAGTACACAACAAAACAAACACTCAATCAATGACCTATCTAAAGTAATTACATTACAATAACTGCACTGCGAGCCTCTTCGTTAAATCTGTACTTAAACAATTCTGAATGCATACTCAAAAAGGCCGTTATGAATCCCTGCAGGAAAATAAGGCTTGGGAGCAAAGGGACTTTAGGAAGCAACACGCGCTCTCTGTGAGTGTGTGTAGGATTGAGATTCCAGTTCCCCTTTATGCAAAGCTACCGAGACTGACTGTTCGCTCAAGCGTTCATTTCCTAAGCGGCTGTCTTTAATTTCAATTCTACCCTAACAGTTAATTTAGACTTCCATTTTTATTAAGCTTACCGTGAACTTCATGTATCCGGGGCCGGAGATTACAAACTGGAAAAATTACAGGTTGAATTTGAAAAAAAAAATAATAACTGGAGTACATTGACAAAATGATAGTCTCTTGCTGTATCAATTTATTAATATAATTATTGTAAAATTTTCAATGCGTTTGTACATTTAAATTAAGGAATAATCCACTGCAATATTAGTGCCATCTGAGAAAAAATTCATAGCATTTTGAAACTAATTGGACTTATTTAATTTTTCAATAGCTCCGAGAGAATCAGTGTGGTGCGAACTTGCTCTAAAAGGCAAGGATAGCTTTCTCATAGGGGTCATTTATAGATCACCTAACAGCACCTCTAATAACAATACAGTACTAAACAGCCTTTTACCGAGCACGGCTTTTAGCAGGTCGCATACGTTGATCGTTGGTGACTTTACCCATCCAGAAATAAACTGTGCAGATAAATCTTCTCCATGAGATGGGAATCACCCAGCATCCCTGCTCTTGGAGTCTGTGCGTGACTCATTTTTAATCCAGAACATCACCAAGCCAAATCATTTTAGGGGTATACAGACCCCAAATATTCGAGATCTAGTGTTTACTAGTGAAGAATCAATGATAGATGAGCTTCGCCATGAGGCTCCGTTGGGCAAAAGCCACTACCTATCATTCTTTTTCAGTATCAAGTGCTATGCAGAAAACACGCTTCGGAAACGTGAACGTTTGAACTTTGCGAAAGTCGACTTTGATAAACTCCGTGAAGCGGTGAATGCGGCGAATATTTCAGACTGTATTAAGGACTTGAATGTGGCTGATTCATGTGGTCATTTCTCAAATACATAGATAGTTATGTCAGCAGTTGATACCTGTGTACCTAAGATTACGCTTGGAGGAGTCAAAAAATCCCAGTGGATGAACTGAACAGTTAAAGCTCAGCTAAAGACTAGGAAGGAAGCCTACAAGCGTTATTTACGAACTCGCAGCGATTCTGATTATAACCAGTATGCAAGATCTCGAAATCAAGCTAAAAAAGTCGCACTGCAGTGAAAAACTTTAAAACTAATGCTAAAAATACAAAAAAGAATCCGAAAGCCTTCGTTTTGTACGCTAGTTCGAAGTGTAGGACAAACGACGGTATATCTGATTTGAAAGTAGACCAACGAAAGATTTCCTCTGATGAGGGCAAGGCTAATGTTCTTAATCAGTTCTTCAGCAGTGTGTTCACAGATGAGGACTTGAACAGTATTCCAGATATTGAGGAGCGCCCAATCGGCTCGACGTTAATATGTTTTGAGATACACGAAGAAAAGGTTCTCAAGCGCCTGGTAGCTCAAAATCCCAACAAGTCTTGTGGACCAGACGGCTTCCATCCCAGATTGCTCAAAGAATTAGCAACCGTTCTGGCCAGCCCATTAACAGTATTCTTTCAAAAAAACCTTGAACGAAGGAACTTTGCCGTCCAATTGGAAAGAAGCTCAAGTAACACCATTGTTCAAAAAAGGTGACATAAGTACCCTCGGTAACTATCGCCCTGTCAGTCTGACAAGCGTTTTTTGTAAGGTAATGGAATTTGTTGTGAGGGCAAGGATTATCGATCACTCGACTGTTCACCTTCTCCTATCAGATTGTCAACATGGTTTTATTGCCCGTAGATCCTGTACCACTAACTTTTTATCTACGTTGAACAGTTGGACTCGCCAGCTGGACGAAACGCGTTCAAGAACAGACTAGATAAAGCTATGGAACAATATATGTTCAGACTTGAAATGCCTAGCACCATATCGAACCTAGTGGAAGTATAGTATCTATTTCAAACTGTCGTCAGTCTTGAAAATATCCGGTCAAATTACACGATTTTAGATCTTCTGTGAACAAGTCACGAAAAGTTCATGAATCGGCGACAGGCCACGTAAGGCCTACTCTTTAGCGCCGACATCACTATGTTTATGTTTATGTAATCTTTAAAATACCTACAAACGACCCTACGAGCCCCTTATCCCCACACTCAAAAAATTAATAGGTCATATTGTTAAAAAGGCGATACATTTTCTACTCGTAGCATTGGTACACTAGCTCCTTCGCCTGGGGCAAACTGGATCAGGGTGACCCACTCCCTTGGAGGGTAAAAAGTACATCGCTTTTTGTCTCACTTATTCGTTCGTGTTCTGTGCCCTGTTATAATGATATCCTTCTTTGCACTCAAAGGATCATAAGATACCCATGATTAAACGAATAACATTGCAAACCACAAAAACCATACAAAAGTTCCACCATCGAACCTCTTATCCCCAGTGTTCGTGTTCTGCGCGGCTGCGCCCTACAATAATTATATCCTACCTTGCATTCAAAGGTTCAATAGTTAGCCATAATTAATCAATTGGCCTTAAACAACCATACAAAAGTACCACCATCGAACCTTTTATCCCCAGCGTTCGTGTTCTGCGCGCTGTTGGAGTTTACCCTCGTGAACTACATGTGGCGTAAGCGACCCCAGCCCAAACTGCCGAACCTGTTCGGACTGAACGGCGGTCGCGTGGCTGGACGCTCGGGTGGCGATATCTGCACCAGCTGCAAGGAGAAGAAGGGCAACGACTCGGCAATCTTCCCGTCTCCTAACATCGCTGTGAGTAAAACAGCGTTAGTACAATTGCACACAAGGAGAACAGTTTATGTTGTTCGAAGAGATAGATAAAAGATCATTTAGTGTCATTTTTTGACCGTTTTATCCATGACCAGATTAGATGACCAGCATCTCTGCTATTTGGGTTACACAGTTTCAAAATATGTGGCAACATTTCCGACAGGTGAGCATCAGTGAAATTTTACGGCTGAAATTACTCAATTCACGGCTCAATTTATTTCCGTTTTATAAGTTACGTGTAATCTCAGTGAAAAAAAAGAAATACCCCAATAATTTTGCGACTGTCAACCGGCCACTGAAACGCCGTTGAAACTAATGTTTTTATATATAATTTTTCAAACTGTGGATGATATCGCCTTCGAGGAGGCGTTTCACGTGTAAGAAAAAAACTTTGCAGATTTGTAAGCAAGTCATTTTTGAATCAACATACAAACTCAAGTCAGCATTTTCAATCTCGGCACAATAATATTTCATTTGGATAAGATCTTCGACTGATTTACTGATTGTTATTTTGTTTGCATTATTCAGCTGAGCAGCAAGTTAACGGATGAAGCTCTAGCTGCTCTGCCCCTGCAGCTCGTGGCCAGCCTCGCCAGCAACTCCAAGAGACGCGTGCACGCCATCGACTCCAACTGCCGCGTGCTGTTCCCGCTCAGCTTCATGTTCTTCAACGTCAATTGGTGTTATTACCTGCTTTAAGATCGGTGATATTACCTGCTTTAAGATTATTGGTGTTATTACCTGCTTTAAGATCGGTGATATTACCTGCTTTGAGATTATTGGTGTTATCACCTGCTTTAAGATTACCTGCTTTAAGATTATTGGTGTTATTACCTGCTTTAAGAAGCAAGTTCGAAGGTTTTTTTGACTTGAAATGGGAATTTTATGATTTACGAGAATCAAAGCTTAAATTGAGTGCACAGTTTAAAACAACGATTCCATTTTTTGTCATGAATAAGTGGTTCATCACCTTCTGATATTGGAAATCAAAGGTGGTACATTCCAAAAGATCGCTTTATTCAAACATATGATGATTTCAACCAAACTCTCCACTTGATATTATTTTCCATGCGGTACATATAATTCATTTACAGCAAAAGTCGTCCTTTCGCCGTATCTCCAGCGCTAAAGAGTTTAGGTATGTCAACTTGCACCCCCACATCGCAATTTTCATGAATGTATGAAGAAAAAGACAGCAAATGCCATCTTGTTTATCAATATTTATGATGGATACACATGACAGTATTTTCCAGTGTTGTGATGTGTACTTTGTGTGTCATTTATAATTTCATGGCAAATGCTGACAAGGAAAGTTTGTCTTCAAGCAACGAAAAGTTGGAGACCTTTGGCTTAGAGAGTGATAACTCATCACTATTGTAGGTATATGTGCTATATTTAATGAGGTTATTTCACTTTCTACAACCTCTTTTTGTGTAATAGAAATGAATCATGAGAGGATTGCGAGCCTGTGAATTGTTGAAAATAGAGTCATAAGCGACCTGAACTTTATATAGTTGAACTTTTGGCCCTCTAAAGCTCACACAAAGCAGTGGCCATAAGCTGTATGCATGCATTGAACAAATTTATTTGTTTATTTATTACGCAAATAATTGAGAAAAAAAATAAATGTTTTTTGATTTTTAAATAGATCGCTGTCAGTATGTCTCTGGAAGCGAGCGTAATAATAACATCAAGCGCTCAGCAGAAAGAAGCCTGGCAGAACTCGGCAGACGTAGACCCTAACAAAATTTAGAGCCGAGGGCGGGTCTGGATTATAGGGAACGCCTAGGACTCGGGGAGCATATGAACGACGCTCAACATTCCCATTACATAGCATCTCATAATGAGCTGTTATGTTTGTCCTCTCGCCGTTTTATAACTACCCATTCTTCTGTTTTTTTTTTTTATAAATGTGCTCTTCTGGGTCAATATTGTTCTAATTCTAGAGAATAATTGCGCGGTGATTTGAGGGAACACTTCTCACACCAGAGTTTTAAATAGAATTGAGTTTTTATTCCGTCTTGATATCTATATTATTGAATTATTAGAATTAATATTTAATATTTCGTTTCGGGCCATCTCAACCATGCTGTGTAAGAAAACAAAAATTAAAATAAGAGGGCATTCAAAAGGTAAGTGCTCAGGCGATCTATCAAACACAGCTGTCTTATTTTTTGGTTTCCGGTTTTTTTGGTTTCCGGCAGATGATAGCAGTGCATATTACGATAGTGTAATGACTAAGTAATTAATATGCATATTACATAAAAAACACTATTATTTTTTGCATTGATTCTCGCGTCCCAGTGCGTCCCTAGCAATGTATATTTGTTCTGTGTCAGTTTTGGTGGAAAAAATTACTATATTTTTACATGCTACAACTGGGGTACGTTGTTTTAGGTCTTATATGCTGTAGCGCAATATTCAGTGTATCGCTTTACAATTTACATGTTCGGAGTCGGAAATACGCGCGTTCACACAAACTTTTCCAATCAAAAATGTAACATTAGTTTTCTTCCTTTGCTCAATGTTCATTCATTAAACTTTCTCTTGTTAATAATGTTTATGTATCCCTCATTTCAAAGCCGAATCGACTACAGACGAGTTTTGATTCATTCAAACGAAGCATTTGACTTCCATACTGTACATGTTTTCTTCAATTCATGTATAGTTTTTATGAAAATATTATATTTATATTCTATACCAAGAAGCAATCTCGAAAAAACGTCCAGAAATTGTCTTCTTTGAAAATAAAAGTGTTCTTGCACGTGTGGTGCAAGTAAAATACAATTATTGATGTGTTTATTTGACTTCTTTGAATGCAGCTGAAGCCCGCATTGTCAATGCAGATTAAAAAACAGCGAAAATCAGAATTAAAATTACGGTGAACTTTCGTGCCGAGTATATCATCAATTTATTTACCAGTTATATGCTCTGTTTGAGAGAATGAATTATAAATGAAGAATAAAAAAAGCTTAAAAATTTTGGCTTCGATTTCGGTCATCCTCTATAAACCGATCCTCCATTGAACAAACTTAACATCAAATAAATAATAGAGTTCCGCTACGCTCAAGATCAGTGCGTTGAGTGGATACGAGTTTTTTTCTAAATTGAAATTTCCAAACTTTGTATTCCGATGGTCGTACACCTTGATTAACTATTATGGACTCTCACTCTTTGACATCGGTTATAGTTTTTACAGTATTTAGATTTTTGTATGCTAACATCGCAAATCCATCACGGCAGACTTGGACCAATTAAACTCAAATTCCGGAATATGAAAAGGATTGAATGTCTCTTTGCTTTCCCTTGAATTCTTGAGAAATGTTCGTGCAAAAATTTTTTACAAACAATTTTTCTGTGATGGACAATAAGGTACGATTAAGAGGCGAATGCCGGTAGCACACAGAGAAAATTTTAGCATTGATTTATCTTCCATTCACTTATTAAATTATTATGTGAGACTGGAAGCAGCACATGGTGACTTCCAGTTAAACGAAAAAGCTTTATTATTCGGAAAGGAACTAATTTAGATGACGTTCTTCTAACAGTAATTATTATACATATTTTTATTTTAATTGCGTTGATTGATGAAGCAGTTATGGCAGCATCCTTGATGAAATTGTCCTTTCTTAGCCATTTTATTCTGATACTGAACAATTAAATGGACGGCTCTTTTATACGCGTGTTTTTAATTTAAATAATTTATCTTGTGTTCGTAATTTAAATTCTAGGGCTCCAGAATAGAAATAAAAATGCGTCGTTGGTTTGATTAATTAAATTCCGGACTTTTGGCGTAACCAAAAACAATGACCATCGGATCTCTCAGCTTGACACTGTTTTGCACTTTAATTCGCTTTAATTTCCAAACCTATTAATTTTATACTCCGTGTTGACTATCCTCATTTCAGAATGCACTGATATGCATGCAGAAATGGGAACAAAATGCTAATGAGGATAATTTTCTTAACAACGAGTTTCCACAATTAAATTCGCAACTTGCACATATTGCCATTCTGACAACAATGTTGTGCGGAAAAATCAGAAAGTTGAAGTGCAATTTCGGCGATGTCCTTCTAAGCGAGATCGTTTATCACAGGAGCGTCAAACGGAAATTGAAACCGCTAGCACATCGCGCCGTTATTGACCAGCCAAAGCGGGGAAACAAAACACAATTCTGCTGTGCTTAACCGCCCGGCCTCCTTGCCGATTCTGACCAGAAACTGTCGCACAGAGCTGGGATCGAACCCGCGCCTCTCTGCGCCAATCTTGGTACTCTGAACTGTAACCATTGGGCCACCCTGCCACACCATTGGGCCACCCTGCCAACTTTTGTGTCGTCGGCATACATGGAGCACACGCTCGACACTACTGGCAGATCGCTTATAAAATCAACGAACAAAACAGGCCCAAGAACGTTTCCTTGTGGCACGCCACTGCGCACTGATGCCCAGTCTGACACGGTTCCGTTAATACTGACACTTTGTGGTCTCCCTACTAGAAAATCTCTGATTCATTGTAGTGGCCCAGTGGTTACAGTTTAGAGTATTAGGATTGGAGCAGAGACGTGCAGGTTCGAACCCAACTCTGTGCGCCAGTTTCTGGTCATAATCGGCACGAGGCCTGGTGAGGCAGAATTGGAGCAGTGAGTTGCGAGTTCGAAACCGCAACAAGCTGTGAATGTTCTGCTTATGTTAAGAATCGGCGACAGGCCTACGGCCTAATAAACGCTGAAATTATTATTATTATTATTATTATTATTATTATTATTATTATTACTATTATTATTATTATTTATTATTATTATTATTATTATTGGAGTACGTTCCCCTCACTTCCCAGAGACTTACGCAACAGCCGCTTATGCGGAACACTGTCAAATGCTTTGGCAAAATCGAGGTACAATGCATCCACTGGCAGGCATCCTTACGTCCAACAGGCGAGTCCAATTATTCAAGGTAGACAGGAGATTAGTGGCGCATGTTCTGCCGGAAATAAAGTCATGCTGACAGTCTGATAGAAGATAGTTAACAGTCAAGCGGTAGAGAATCCTATCCCTCACAACCGATTCTACCACCTTACAGTTGGGTGGGTTGATACGGGTGGGATGTACAAAATGATACAGTTACTTCAATATTATGATTATGTTATGCCAATAATATTCCTCAGAGAAATATTTCGCCTTCCGTGAAAGTAACGGAGGAAAGAGAGTTAATGAAATATCCGGGTCAGCTTTTTAGTTTTACTGCGTCTGGCAGGTACGTAAACATAACGCGGCGAGTATGAATTTTGATATCATGTCACATCAACCGATCAAATAACAAATTTATGTCGTGGTTCGCACGCCGCCGCAGTTTCCACATGGCAACCACTACACAAAAGCCTTGGGTGATGGTAAAGTCTTGGTAGGACGCGTCTCCTTGAACGATAAAAACAAAACACAAGCGATTCCGACTGATTTGTGACCGTAAACTCAAATGACTTACTTGTGTGACAGTGTACTGACACTAACTGACTTGTTTACACTTCACACGACTGCTGACTGCTGAGTCACTGCTGACCCATCAAAAATGCTAGCTAACGAAACTTATTTTAGCCAAGATCAGTTAATGAGCAGTGGAACAATGTTTTAATTTTAGAAACATTTACTATTATATGCAATATTTGGCCAACTCGTTGTTGTTGTTAATGTTGTAAATGTGGTTTTTGTATTAAATGGTGCCTGTCAACGGCCGCAGCACTGCCCAAACGGCCCCAGGCAGCCAGACCCCCAGCTAGTGTCCACGGGACCACCGACCACGGTCACTGTGTCTGTGGCCGTGGGCCAGTGAGTCTGACAGTGGCACTGACCTTACCATGCCCGCTGAAGGCGCTGTCGCTGATTCTGTTAAAAGTGACATTTAGTTTGTTCAACACAATTGCTGCCTGCTGGTAGCTGGTTACTGGTTTGAACGTTAGCCTAAAATAAATAGACCTGTCTTTTTATACTGAACAAATGTAATAAACATTCCATTCTTTATTCTTATTCCTCTCAAGTTTCATATGTACAGTATGGACAATTTCAAAAAGAATAAATTAATTTGCCTGTATTAGGCTGTATACCTATACTTGCACGGTGCAGACTGCAGTGGTGCACCCAATTTTTAGTTGGTTCCATTGAGATTTGAGAAGGCAGCTTCTTCCATATATAAATGCATATTTAGTCAGTAAATTTGAAATGTAATTCTTGCTGTAAACAAAACTAGAATAAATTTTAATGTATTAAAAAAAATATAAAGTTATTCTGTTTCTGTTAATGGCAATAGGTATCTACTAAACCATTGTGTCATTTGTGTGCTAATGTTGGTTAATCAAAATCAATCTGATTCTTTTAACACGTTAACCGCCAGCATGCAATATTGGAACTTCCCCCTAGCGCCAAGACTTCTAGGCACTAAAATGTCTCAGTTGGTCAGGAACAGCTGCAAGGGAAGGTGTGTATGTGTTATACTCTCTGTCTAGTTTCTTCTAGAACAGAGTAAACCATGAAATAGTTATGCTAATAAATAAATAAATTACGACACTTGTTTTGATAATATATCCTTCTAGCCATCAAAAATGAGTGAAAAACAAATTTGAAAATAAATTTGTAAATGATCCACCGGTGGTACATATGGCGTTCATTGACAGCTTGTTTTGTGCCACCGGTGGTACATGTGGCGGTTAACGTGTTAAATATCATTGTCATGTCACTCATAAATTTGTCCTAGACTCCTGTGTCCTGTCTCCTAGATAATTTTGACATTTATTTAGCCCTATTTATTTATGAATATTTTAGTATCCTATGCTACTGCATTAACTAAAATACTGACCAAAAAAATCCACAATATAATTTGAGATAATAACCTAATAATTTTGATCAATTTAAGGTCTGCCTTGGTGTGGTGTTGATGAGTTTGTTCGTACACGCGGCCACCCGAGGCTTGTTCTCCCTACGCCCATTGACTGCACTGCTGCCAAGCTTAGCCTTCACTGCAGGTCTCTCTTTAAAATCTCACACTATAAAAAAAACAAGCAACTGATTGTCTCAATTTAAGTTTTTTGGGTATCTTGTCTGCATGATTTAAGTGTCATGGATGCAATATCAATTTATTTTTATTTAAGGATTTTAAAAATAGGTGAATGTCTATTAAATTCCACCACTTTTCAGTGTAGACAAATTCATCTTCATTATTCAAAGCAAATTGTGTGGAGCAAATTGTGTGAAGAACTGGCTGTTCTTACTAGCCTATGTGTGCTCCAGGCACTTGCTGAAATTCCACCTTTTGGAACAGACTTAATAAATCAAAGTAATCTCATTATCTTATAAATGCCCTGTTATTTTTTGAGCTTATATTTTCCATTTTATAATCTCTTGCTATTATTCATATGATTATATAAATGCCCTGATGTTTGTTGAGCTTATATCCAGAGGTGGACAGTAGCGTGCTACATGTAGGATGTAGCTGCCACTACATTTTCAGTAGCGTAGCAGTGCTACATTTAAGGCAATGTAGCGATAGCGGTAGTGCCCACTACATATTTAAGTAGCGATAGGTACAAGGTTTTGCCGCTACAGCGCTACCGCTACATTTATAGATGAAGCCTTTAGATTTTACTTAATAGTATTAAATATTATTTTAAAAACAGCATGATACATACATAATATAAATTACAGAATAAAACTGTACAAAAGATTTTGGTGTAATGTTGTCAACCTCAGCCTGTTACTAGTGTCAACATGTTAGTTGTTACTTGTTAAGTTGTTACCAGTTAGCACTTACAGGTATTTTTTAATGTTTCAGTTTGCTTACAGTTATTTTTACACAGTTATTTTTATGTTTCACCTTCCCTACATGGATGTTTACTTTAATCTACCATCCCAAAAATAATCCACACATATATTCAAATAAAAGACTGCTTTTTTATATGTATACCGGTATGTGGATAATTTTTTAGATTGGTAGATTAAAGTACACATCCATGTAGGGAAGGTAAAACATAAAAATAACTGTAACTTTTATTTACTGTATCTAACCCGTGCTAGTTTGGTTAGGTTAATTGCAATAAAGTTGCATTGATATGTTTTGAAAATGTTTTATTTTCATTAAATGATCATGAGTAAATCCCAATAGCAGAATAATAAATATTTATGGATTTCTAATAATTTAGGTCATTGTAGCGGTGCTACCTTTTACAGTAGCGGTAGCGGTAGCACTCGCTACAATCTAGTGGGTGTAGCAGTAGTGGTTGCGCCAGCTACATTTAGAGCATGTAGCAGTAGCGCCGCTACATATCAAAGTAGCGCTGCCCAGCTCTGCTTATATCTTCCATTGTATAATCTCCTGCCATTAATCATATGATAAAGTTTGCCTGGCAGCATAATGAAGCAAACTTTCTTCCCCCAAACAAATGCCTGCCAATAAATGCCTAATAAAGCATTAGGCTAATTAATGCCTGATGAATAACAAATGACTGTACATGCAATAAGCTCTACTATACCTGGTAATTCTAGCTCCACTTGTGGTGATTTGGATCTATGGACTTTTAAATTACTGTGTATATTTTCATTTTATAATTAAAGCTTGTGGTAATAGCGCAAGAGCTATTGTTCAGTTGAAATTCTAAATTTATTTGTTTTTAATTTCTTCATTTTCTCATTACTTAGGATTTAATCTATATATTTCATATTATTTGTAGGTATCACATTTACATATTAATTTCAGTTTTCCTTGCTGATTGTACTTGTATTATATAAATTTTTAGCACTAATGATGGTCTGCAAAAGTTATTATTGAAGGTAGGGTATGGTGACTTGACCTGGCCTCTTATTGTCTTTATATTATGGTATATATGTAATTGAGATATCATATTTTGATCAGAGACCAATACAAACTTCAGATGATTGATGTCCAGGCAAACATTTCAGTGAATTCCTTGCTGAGAGATTTATTTTATTCTCAATAAAAATTCATTTATTATTAGGAAGGTAGGTGCTTTTTCCTGTGCATCCAAGCAGAGTTTGGTTAATTAGTTTGGTTAACACCTGAATTACTGAATTACTAATTAATAGTATGCCCAAAAAAATAAATACCTAAATTACTAATTGCCACTTAATAAGTTTGGTTAATGCCTGAATTACTGAAATAATAATTGGATATTATGAATAAATATTTTTATATGTATAAGTCCACTATGGTTCCTGATAATTGTTAGATTATCATATATTTTTTTGTGATAATTGTTATTTAGTATAGATATTTAAAAATTTCATGTCACTGCAGGCATGGCAAGCTCCTCAGAGACCTCGGAGTTCAGCGTCACCTACGTTACGGCCCCCAACATGGAGGTGGCCAAGACCCTGGCAAGGTGGGGGGGGGGGTGAAGGTGAGGAGAGGGG